AATTATTCGAAATATTTTTATATGCTATGTTATTACTATGAGTAGGTGTTAATTAACGTTTAAAAATATATGTTCAACCATTTTTATGAGGTTGTCAGTAATATTGCGGTCTGGGGATTTTTTTTCCGCAATTCAAATATACCATATTATATTATCATAATATTATGTACGAGTATAACGATGTTATAAGTATATTAATAAGCCATATATACATTATTATTATCATAATATTCATAAACATATTATATTAATTATTTTATAGTTTATAGGTCTATGATGAATGAATGATATTATATAATAATAATAATTATAGTAATATTATACCTATGGCCTGTGGGATAGGTACTGGGATCTACATCGTTAGTCAACACTTAATAGTAGCACAGAATATATGAAATAAATTTATAATTAATAACTAAAAAGTAAATATATAATTTTTTTTATTTTTTTTTTTTTATTAAAAGAAACTTTGTAAACAATTAGCTTCGACAATTATGATTATAAATATTACATAAATATATAATTAATAAATACATTTCTTATAATCTGTGGTAGTAGTGCCTCAAAGCCGACGCACCATCAGCTGCTGTTATGAGGTTTTATAACCATAACCATGCCTTAAGATATTATATTATACTCATCTATGATATAATGAATATGCCGGGACATAAGCCGCGTTTTTCACGGTGACGGTGACAGTTGATGTTTCAATGTTAAAGAACTGTCATGGCAGTACTGTCACACTATCTAACGCGGCTAGATAGTCGACAGTACTGTCGCCGTGTAAACCCCCCTATACAGACAAGTGACGACAGTTGTATTATTTTTTTTTATAGTTGTAAAGTTATCTTCGAGATTCGAGTGAATAATAGATGATAATCTTAGATCATGATCTAAGATGATAATTTTGTATCCTATGGTATTATCACAGAATATATGAAATTTAATATAATTAATTTAAATTTCATATTATATTCTGTGGTATTATCAATAGTGTTTTCGTTATGACGACATGACGTTATCTGACAAGTGCAGAATGGTTCATTATTATTATTAGTTTTTATATTAATACTTGGTGAATTATATAAAAAGCATTTTTTCCTGGTTCAATTTTTTTTAATTTTACTTATCATAGATATTTGGTTACGTGCACCATTATAAATTATAGTGTTATACCGTCAGCTGTGTAGGTACTTAAATATAAATGACCATGAAACCGCCGGCATATTATCATTTACGTAATTAMTACTTATTTGCAGTAGTAGCTTAAAATTAAAAGCTAAGTTCTATGTGAGCTATCTAGTCGTCGTTATATTCTGCATAGGCCATAGATGAACAATTCAATTTTTTTTAATCTTGAACATCTTGATTCTTTTTCTTTTTGACTGATTTAACGATATTGGTGTTAGGATCAAAAGTAATTAGTAATTACAATTCAATATAAAATAATGAAGTGTTCAAATTAGTTGGTCTTTTTAGTCGTTCATAAAGCGGTCATTTAGCTCTAGTCACTCAACTTCACATACATCATTCATTTATAAAATAATTATTAGGTTTTAATATATTATTTCTTATAAAATGAGTATACCTGTAGCAATTGGTTCTACGTTTTTTGGATGCATGAGCAATGTTGTATTTTTGGAACTTTTAGTCAAGTAAGTATGATTTAAWAATATTATCAATACAAAATTTATTAAAATGTGTATGATTTAAATTTTAGAGAAGATCCCGGCATAGGAAATTTGATTACGTTTTCCCAATTTTTTCTAATAGCGTTACATGGATTTATATTTACTGCCAAATGTGGTACCAAAAAACCAAGTATCAGTGTCAAGTATGTATTAATTTATATTTTTAAATAATTATGAGTACATTAATATGTATGATGTGCTGAGTTAAAAATCGTTGTTTTTCCCCAATGTTTAAATATTTTGTAATTATATAGATGTACAATATTTAAATACTGAATAATAAATACAACTGAAATAAATGCAGTTTAGATCCCAAGCAATTGCTGGTATTTCAATGAGTTAAGAACAATGGTGCAGTCAGACTTATTTTCAAAGTTAAAATATTTTGAAGTTAATATGTTTTCTTATCTACATAGAAACTGTAGTTAAGCTCCTAAACAGTTTTTGGAAATTTTTTCTGAACTAAACCGCATTTGTTCCCTGTAATCTTTTATTATATTCCATGCTGCTAGTAAAATATTTTCATTTTGGCTTATACATTCAGCAATGATGTYTTAACAATATAAACAAATTGTAAAAAAAAAAGTATCTTGAAACCTGTATAAACATCTCTTTSAAATGGACAATTTAAACAATTTATTAATGTGATAAGCAGAAATTTGTCTACAATGGTCACTTGACTGTCCGTTATTTTGAGATCTTACAGTACTAAATACTATACACTATAAATGTAATTCAAAAGTCTTGAGTTAATTATTTGTGTTTTTATTTTTAGATACTTAATTAAAATTATAGATTAATTGTTTGATAATTTATATTTATTTTATTAATTTTGAATTGTTTTTCAGAGGGTATATGATCTTAGTTGCAATGTTTTTTGTAACTAATGTTTTAAACAATTATGCTTTCGATTTGAATATTGCCATGCCACTACATATGATCTTCAGAGCGGTATGTTTTTATACAAATTAATTTATCATTTTTATATGACTTATATTGAACAAAAAATCATATAACAGTTTAATTTTAGTTAAATATGATGGTGCCTATAGTACTATATTAATCCTAAATCTATTACAATTTCATGAGTGGAATTTAATTTTAAATAACAACTGATGAAAAGAGTATCATTGAGTAGAGTAAATACTACTTTATGATTGTTAGCATCAARTATATCAAGACTCGTGATAATGATACATATTTTGAATGATGATAACTACTTTCGATTTAGWATTACTTAATATTTTTATTTCATCTTTCACTTTTATTTTTACATATTTTAAACTGTACATTTAGTTAAAAGTTTACCAGCATATCATCCTAAAGAGAATAAGAAATTATCTGTTTGTATATTATGTAGATAATCAAAAACCTTTACTTTTYAGGGTTCATTAATAGCAAATATGGTCATGGGAGTGATTATATTAAAAAAAAAGTATACACTTGATAAGTTTATTTCTGTAGGCATGATYTCTGCTGGTATTACAATATGTACAATAGTATCAAGTCAAGATGTTGTAAGTGTTACTTATATCATTTCTTAATGAATACTTTCAATTTTATTATATATATTTCTTTTATTTTTAGAAAAAAACTGTTGTACATGGTGTTGTGCAAAATACATCAGAGTTGGAAGACTTCTTTTGGTGGTGCTTAGGTATGTATCTTACAATATTAATARTATGATGTATGCATAGACGTGTCCACGGGGGGTGCAAGGTATACACCTGCACCCTCTGCGATTTCAAGTGGCACCATGAATTAAGAAAAAATGTTCAAAAAAGGGGGCTAGGGCCCATTAGCCCCTTGGGTATGCACCAGGTTGCACCCTTTGCGTCTGCGTCAAAGGTCTAGACACGCCTATGGATGTATGATATTTAGTTTAAAAATTAATATAACATTTTTTTTAATATGTTCAATAAATTAACAAAAATAATAATTTAGGAATTGCATGTTTGACTACTGCATTGTTTATTTCTGCTCGCATGGGTATATACCAAGAAACATTATATAAAAAGCATGGTAAACATCCACAAGAAGCATTATTTTATACTGTAAGTATTAAACKGTGATAAATAAGTGCCTTTAGTAAATAATATTATTTTGAAACATATACYACAAAAGAAGACATTTTTCAATATATTTGTGGGGTTGAKATTAGTTTGATGGTTTTCAATTCATTTAAAAATGAGTTATTATTAATAAAAATAGGAAAATTAAGATTAATATAAATTATAATATTATACAATGCCTCAAATTTAACATTATTATCACTCAGCATTATTATAGTTTTAAGTTTTAAAACTAGTATTTTTATCTTTTAGTGGCATTTTATAAATGTATTGAAGCATTGAACAATTATTATTGTCTATAATACAAATGTATTATTTTTACAAGTCGCGGTAAAAACAGTATTGTTTATAAATTATWATATAGTGAGTATCACTCAACGGATCATTAATTTGGTGTTTAGAATAAAATATGACAAAGTTGCTAAGACCGGTTCCATATACATATTTTATATGCTTAAATATTTRTGCTTTTGTGAAATCAATGACTGATTAGAATTATATCTCCATTGTGTTAATGTATCATATTACCTAATTATGTAACACCATTTTTAATTTTAGTGGTAAAAAGTTCAACTTTTTATTTTAAAAATCTTTTATTATTATAATTAAGCTTTACCTTACAAACATTCTCAGTTTATTTTCCCATTACCTTCATAAATTCAAAAATTATAATTTATATTATAAATCATAAATRCTCATCAAATGCATTGCATGTATAAGTTAATATTTTATGTTTTATTRTTTTTTACTTTTTATTATAGTCATACTGCAACCACTAGCAACTATATTTTAAATCAATGTCACATCTGTAAATAATACAAATTTGTTTGATTTTAGCATTTGATACCACTTCCATGGTTTCTGTTTTTATACTCCAACCTTAAGGAACACGCCTTAATGGCTTTTGAAAGTGAACCATTGCCATACATAGGTTTTGGAATACCAAGTACCATTGTTTATCTTATTGGTAATGTTTTCACTCAGTATCCTTTAATTACGTWTTAGTGTTTTGATATTTGATATTTATATGATTGTATATAATATTRTGGATAAGGGAATTTGTTTTTACAGTTTTTAATATCTATGAGGATAGTATGATGGATGTATGAGGTAAAAAAAATACCAATTTTAACTTAAAAAAATAAACATAACATGACTTTAGACTCTGAGGATAGCATCAATGTATTCATTTTACAATGAAGAGGGGTTTTTGAGTGTCTGTCACCACCTTTTTGTCCAGTAAAAATGCTTCAATATTCAATATCAATRTAGTTATGGAGTACAAAAATCTAAATTAATAAATAAAAACAAACTCGGGCAAAATAGAAATTTTTATTCAAAACAAAACTATTTTGTTATTTTGTTGGAATTAAAAAATGTTAGTTTATACATCTAACATTTATTTTTATTTTTAAATTTAAATGTAGAATGTTATGWGATATTTTGTAAATCAGTGCTAGAATATTCATTTTAGAATATTTTTGTGAGCTGGATATGTCCATTGCAAAATAAATTTATGATTTCTTCCAAACAAAAAATCATCTCAAATTTTTTCWTTGAGTTAAATTATAAAATTATGTTGGAGGAATTTATAATTTTATTAAATAGCATATATGACGTGTACAAATAAAACCTAACAATCAAARAGACATAGTAATCAACATCTAAATTCTGTTACAATTTAATACATTTAAAAAGCGTTCATTATTGTGAAGATATTATAACTTGCATTTATCTTTAGTTAAAAATAGGCTAATAATAACTTTTGGTATTAAAACCTTAATCAATGAAATTTTTATAAAAAAAATCATACATTTATATGCCAAAATAATTAAAATGTATTTGAAATATTATGTTTGAATTTTTCCTTACCTAAATATTTATAGATATATTTGTATAAGTTCAGTTTACTTTTTGACAACTGAATGTTCATCGTTGACAGTAACGCTAGTTATAACATTGCGAAAATTTGCCAGTTTAATATTTAGTATATTGTACTTCAGCAATCCATTCACTTTGTACCACTGGATTGGAACTCTTTTGGTATTCATTGGTACAGTCATATTCACTGAGATACCGCAGAAAGTACAACAAATGACAGCGCCAAAAAAGGCAACAAAAAAATCAAAGAAAACAAATTAAWGTTACCCCATTATTATGATGTTGGATTATGGTTATCACAGAATTATTAAATACATTAAATGTTGTTAATTTTTAATACTACTTGTTTTAAAATAAATAAAAACTTATTAATTTATTTTATTTGACAATAAACTGAAATAATTTACAAATTAAAAGTCTTTGTTCTAAATTTGGTGGAGCATTATATAACGTGATTTCCTAACTTTTAAATATATACTTAACTCAACAATATAGTAAATATAGGTCATAATAATAAAATATTTAAAAATATAACAGTGCATTTACTAAATCTATTAGGTGATTGAGATTGGCAGCTATTTTGATCAATGAAAACCAAAATCTTTGCTAAATGCAACGATAATGTCGTGTAAACTGAAGTATGTACCAGTTACGAATCCTAACAGACCTAAGAGTATAGTAATAATGTCCATGTRAAGTTTCCAATTGAATGCTCCAAATCCTTCGTCCTTCCAGACAACCATATGGCAAATGGGTGGGAATATTAGAGCTAAGAACGTGCTGGCGATGGCCCCGACCAAAGATATGAACAGTGCCAGATGAGGTATCACTTCCGCCGCCAAAACTATAGCAAAACAGAAGAAGTTCACATAATATGGTTTTAAAATAACTTTGCAGCACAATGATGATTTATTATAAAATGACAATTTACATGTGGCAAAAACTAGTGCGGCGCGCAAAAGATATTCGGCGAGGGCGGGCGATTGGAACGGTCCGTATTTTTCTTGTACCGATGGCCATAAGATAGCGACGGGCACGTAAAACTGCAGTGTGTAAGTACAGATGATTGCGAACACCATAAGACCGACCACGATTTTTGAAAGGCTGAAAAAAGTGTATTTTTTATAGGTATCAAAAACAGCGCCATCTCATCTATAATGTGTAACCGTGTAGGTAGGTGTTGTTTTTATTTTTACATGAGAGTGGGTGGGAGGTTGAGCGTGAGACTTCCTTTGACGTCGTCGCCGAACCGCCAGAATCCAACAAAGCCCATGGTCAGAATGATAAAGGTCACGATGGTCATGCCGACGTTCAACACTCCCATAGTTGACGCAAATCTATTGGGTGTTTTCATTTCCAATTGCAGGGGCAATACCTGTGAATATATATTTAAAACCGTATTTATTTATACAAATGACCAGATCTGGTGGCACTGTCTTCTTGGTCGATCGTATTATTGAGACGGAATAGGTATACACTTACAAGACTAATGCCTTCGAAAGCGTAAATGGCCGTGCCGAAGAACAGAGGTATCTGCGACCAATGGGCCACGGCCGTTCTGGAGTTGAGAGCCGGTAAGTCCACTACACAGTACGACAGAATAATGCCCAGACCAATGGCCATTGATATATTGGCGGCCGTCGACAGGGGTGCAATGAATTTCAAATTCCTAATCATGGCGCATGACATTATGGGCACCAAAGCGAATATCATGTGGATGTGGATATCCAGCACGGTTCCGTATTCATCACAAAACTGTTGGTAAAAAAATTATTACTAAAATGTAATTGGTAAAAAACATTTGGGATACTAAGTTGAGAAATTCTTCTCAGGATAAGAAAGTAGGTTTTACAAAACATAGAGTGGTGGTTAAGTCAAATTTAAGGCGACTTTTATTTTGCTTAAATKATAGTAGTTTTTATCTTTATATATGACATTTGTGAGTGAAGCAATCCGCTCTGACTGGCAATATTGATAAACTGGTTTGCATTCTGCAACTCCGAGCTAAATTCTAAAAAGGATGCCTAACAGCTGCTTATTAGTTATTAGTTATTACTTATTATTATGCGTGTGTTTTTTTTATATTTTATTTAACGTATARGCATTTAGTGTTTTTATCTGAGTAAATTGTAATGGTGTAATGCTTACTGCAGTATTCAATGCAGAACATTATAATTGTATTATTATCCTATAGATTAATAGATACCTGTTTAATGGAGTTGGAAACAAACAGTATGTAGACGCAGCAAAATCCCAACTGAGTGATTATGACAAATACGTTGACTGTGGTCCTGAAAAATAGCATAATATCACGAATTTTAATTTATCCACTCTACCCCAAACATCTTTGTATTTTTCGCTTAATGATTACATGGTCGCTGTTCTACGTGGCATACCTAAACAAGTCCGCATGCTTCTGTAAACTCTTGGGTCCAGTTGCAAAGGACAGTTCGACGGTCTCCGAGAACGTCGGGCAGTGTTCGAGTTTCAGCCTGCTCTTCAGCTTATGAGCGACGTTTAACTGCAGTAAAAACGCGTGATTTATTATCATATTACACAACATATTATCACGCCATTATTTTATTGAAGATTGAACTACCGTACTGAGTAAAATATTACGTTTAGTCATAGTTAATATTTAAATACGTTCCCTGATCTGAAAAGATAGGGGATGGGGAAGCTGAGAGACATCGATTTTTTGGGAACAAAATGTATGTAAATATAATGTAGCTAAATGGTAATTTTCAAATATTATTAGTAACCWGYCGGCCACATCCTCCATCATATTGCAATAAAATTAATTGTCCGCGTGCCGAAAACATGTTTTATATGTACCTATATGTATATCTGCCATCGTAAACCATATGGAAACATTCGATGTCTTATAAAGTTGTAACRATTGTAATTTGTAACTTGTAAGTATGGCGACCACATCATACATTTACAGGTATTAATACTTAATAGTATCCCATATATAAACGTAATAWAATTATTAGAGTTAAATCGCCGAAAAATATATGCTAATWGGCCTAATAAATATTGAAAATATGTCTTTAAAAATATGACATTTTAAAATATTATAACATTAAAATATGCTCAAAATAAAAATTGTTTTTTCATTAAAAAATATAAATATGCAAAAATATAAACTTGCTTCTTGCAATTGTAGTATGTCAGGTATTGTAATTTTTTTTTAGATTTAATTTTTCTTCACATAGGTACTATTAACAGGTAAAAATGTCACCAATAGATAGATAGATAGACCTATAGTTACATTTATAAATTTTTTTAATCAAAATATGCATTTATTTAAATTTTTCTTCAAAATATGAAGTAATTATTCAAAAAATCCCTAATTATACAAAAACGTGCAAAATAAAATAAATGAATCCAATTCTGTCATACGAAACGAATTTATAATTAGGGAATTTATAATTAATTAAATTTAATCATAACTTGGTATGCAATGTGCAGCCTTTAATATAATAGCTTCATTAAGAAGAAAGAACTCGACCCTAAAAATTACACCCGATTATGTTGTTACTTATTACTTATTAACCTCTACCATACGAGTTTTTAGTACCTATTAATCGACTGAATTGAAGTAAAATCGTTCGTATTAATTAATATTCATTATACTTATTTTCCCTGAAATGTTAATCAACGTACCAGTATGTGATTGTTGTAAATACACACGGTTCCAATGAAAACTGTGAGAATCGGCGCCATCAAGAGGCCTCCGTTTCGGAATGCGTCACCCATGGCCAACATACCACAACCGATGTTACCTTTTAAGAGATGCATTAGTGTCTCACAATATCTGCAAACAGAGTTATATTATTTAAACGATGGTAAATATAATTTTCTACTATGTGAAATATTATATTTTATTATTAATTGGTCGTGTCGCATATATAATTAAAAAAATAGTACTCACGTGGTTGGATGTTCAGATACTGGGTGGCCGTGCACAGCTTTGGCCACGGCTTCCACCTGTTGTTGTTGATCTGACGTGCCGTTAGCCTCCACATCCTGGGTGGTGCTGTTTCTGCGAGATTTGTCTCCCATCGTTTAAGTCACTGAAAAAAGAGATAAGATAGTACCTATACTACATAATACATAATACATAATAATAATTAATAATAGTTTCACTATTCGAGTTCGATTAACGGACTAACTCGGTGTAGGTATTGTAATAATATTAGGTAAATATTTGTAGATTTTGTTTACCGATCGTACATTTTTTTCATAATGTTTAATAGTCAATGGGAAGATACATAAAATAAATTTATGGACTATATTATTATTGGCTTTTGGAATACATTTCTATTTTCTAGCATGTAGATACCTAGTATATTTAATACATACCTAGATTAGTCTAAATTATTTATTAAATTATATAGTGTTTAAATGTTSCTATGATGTTTATTTCTTGTGTTATAATAATCAACAATATCATCAAAGCTGGTCAAACAATAAATTAGAAAATAATATTTACGTTACCCCCACAGGCTCTGTTTAACCTATTATATTATATCACTCCAAATAATGTAATAACAGGTAATATTGTGTTACCTATTTATTTTGTTAAACACTATAGCTGAACTCGTGCACTTTATTGCTTGCAAACGTATAAACTCTATATGTGATTCAATCTTTGTTCAATTTGTCATTTAATATTGGGTGTATGGTATATTAATTTCAAAARTTTTAAAAATCATATCGTACAAAATTTGTTTCGTCCGATTTCGTTCTTAATAGCTTAGAAACATTTCCTGGGGTGCCCAAATTCCGTCACGAAAGTTTCATGGGGATTGGATGAATAGTGTAGGAAAAGGAATGCCTAAAGGACAAGCAAGTGGACATATTATAGCCTATAACTATATTACATTCGCTTTTTTGTGTATAGATTAAACGTATTTTAAAATGTTATTGCTATTACCGATTCGTGTTGATAATTTTTTTTTACCATAATATTTTATAACACATACCATTTAACGGAAATTTCTTTTAACTTTCATCAGATGCTATTCCTCGTCGAAAACTTGAGTCTATTGTTTAAATAGTATAAAATATTATGACTTTATGAGTATTGCGTAATTAYTATGATACCAGTTGGTTTCAGAGACATGACTGGAGGGGKTGCTAAGTCATAATTTTCAGAAAACTTTTGAAATTTTAATGTGTTTTTTGTATATTGTTTTTTATAATATATATTTTTTAGAAGTATGGCCTGAGAGGGGGCTGCGTACACTACCCTCCTTTCCGGGAGCGACAGGAGCCAGCTACATTATTTATGTGATTTTAATTGGAAATTTTTATGTGACTATATGTGAATATTTGTTTAACATATTTTTGTTTAATATATTGTTTAAAATAACATTTGAACAATTTTTTTTAACCATTTGAACTGTGTCATTGTTGCAGTTTATTGCTTAAGCACTGTATTAATTTATAAACAATAGATTTGTTAATAAAAATGTTAAGGAAACCGAGAAATACCG